CAGAGCAGCAATCCCTCATTTCTTGTTGCATAGTCATATGTGATGAAAGGGTGATGACCTAGTGTCCTTTTGCATACTTGAGCGTAAATCTGTGCTAATCTTGTAGATGAGCAAGAGGACTTTAAACATATGTATGGAAAGCACAGCAGATGCAAATAGGTGATTACTGGGGGTTGCAAAATAGACATAAACAGTCAACAAGAAAGTTAAAATGTAAACAAGAAGGGAGAGTCTGCTGTAGAGAAACAGGACACAACATACTTAGAAGGCCAAACAAGCCTTCAGTCATCAAATTATAGATCTGAGGCATGGGTGGAGTACACCCTGCAAAATGTAGGCTATGCTGCTCTTATGAGGCTTTAACCTTATGGCTATCCAGAGCAGCCTAATTGGCAGTTGGTCAGAAGCTTTGACTGGCATTGCCTGTGATGCTGAACCAAAAGGGCTCACTTAAAATATTAACTCTCACTTATTCAATTCCAGCAGAAAGAGTAAGCTTTAATTTGCGTTGTTTTGACAGCTCTGTGCATTGTATTGGTCATTGTTTTAGCATCCGTTAGCATGCCCTTTCCGTGCTGCATTTTCCCCATTGCTTGAAATGTGCTTTCTTTGACATTTTAGCAAAGCGGTGCATTTCATATAAACACCGGAACAGATTCCAGTACTGTTAATGTGCAACATTTGCAGAATTAAACAAAAAAAAAAATTCTAATGTCAAAATAACGCCAGCGTTCAGAGAATCTAATCTGTCCTGCAGAATTTTCGTTTGAGAGAATCTTTTTTTTAATGACTGTAAAGAGATCTACATACAAATATTCAACCCCCACCCCCCCTCCCAGTATACATGACTGATATTCATTGGTAACCTTCAGTCAATAAGTAGGAATTCTAATAAGTATTTTCAGGATGCTAATGTGTACCCTGTGGGACCCCTTTATTACCTCACACACATACACATGGTGACTGCATATGCACGGAAGCATAAATCACTTCATCCCACACATGTCGCCTGAGGTCTGAGAGAGAAGGATGGATGAAGGAGAGATGGAGGTATGGAAGGATCATAAATGGGTAGGCCATGTGGTAATTGTTTGGGTGTGTTTCAGTGATTGTGATGACATCATACAGAATGATACGGGGAAACCGTCTGCTGATATGATTCAATACAATCTAAGTTAAGACAAGAAGAACGTACGTTGGTTAATGTCTCACGATTTTCTAACTGCAGCTGCGCACCACCTGACTTCCTTCCCAAAAAGTGAAGACATAGCAGGTAAACTCTGAGATAATCCATATAACCATAGCTTTTACCGACGAGAGACACGCTTGGAAAGATACATTATGACATAGCTGTCAGTTGTGTCCGGTGCACACTGAAGGTACTGGTGCAGTCGCATCGCTGACGTTATGAACAAACCACTCGTTAAGATCAGTGAATCTCTCCATCCCTACTGTATATGATGTCCAACATGTAGGAAAGTATAGATTCCCTAATATCTGTAAATATTAGTTGTTGGCCATGACAGCTAGCCTGGCAAACCATCCAGTGTGAATATACAGTCTGGCCACGGCCTGATGACGGCTCTCAGTCATTGTGGCAAAATCTGCGGTTGTCTTTCAAACTGTCTCCTCATGCTTCTGGGTAACAAACAGCTTGATGTACTCACCGCTACGGGTGCCAGTCAGCAAGGCAGTCAAAGAAGATGCTAATAGATCCTTTCTCTAAATTAACCCAAGTACCTCTACCTGCTCTTAAAAAGAGAAAAAAGAAAAGTCAACATAGTCCAAAGGTAATGCCAAAGCTGTTTCAATAACATTATTCACAAACACATATGTGACTCTTCCGTTCTCAGTTTGACCTCTACCCCCGTCACCTCTCTATCCCTTCAGATCAAACCAAGGAAACATCTGGATGGGGTATCTGAAGTCACAAACCTCCCACAATGCTTTGTGGCTTTTTCTCCTCTCTTTGTAACTCTTTGACAAAGAAGCCAAGGCCTCATGAGAGCTTGCACTGCTTGAGTCACACAGTTGAACTTCTTCTAGGGAGAAAGGCACCGTACCACCAGGATTTAGTTTTGTTTCTTTGAATACCAAAATTAGTTTTTCAGTAACATCTATTCCTTCTTAAAGTGGGACATCAGATATGTGATAGTTTAAGTCATTAAAATGTTTGTGTAGGTTAGTTTGATGATTTATTTTGTAATATCCCTCCCATACGCTGTAACGCTTCTTTTCCTGCTGTGACGTCATGTGCAAGTCTTACTTCATGACTGCAAAAGCATCATGGTAACACATGGACTTGGTTTGGGGGGAATCAAAGCACAGCTTGCAGTGTGTGTTTGCACACGTGTGTGAGCTTGTCTCCTGTCAGCAGCTGTGCCCAGTCTGTCTAACAGGAACTGCGTGGTCTTCCTCTCACAAACAAGCCTCTGACTGCATCATTCCCTCTTGCTTTGAAGGCAGAAGCAGGCTCTGATTCGGGCACGTTACGAGCTTTGTTGCCTTATCCATGGCAGCTTCCTGCTTTGTATAAAACAGGCCAAGGTTCATGCTTAACATCCCATCCTACTGTCAAGGCTTTCAGGAGCGTTTACTGTTGGTAAACCAGTTGCTGCTCTAGAATCTACTTTTTGTTTTCCAGAATCTCAAGTTCTTTAAGTCTTCTGCCAGGTTTTAAGTCAATAAAGAGGAATGGTAGAAAGATCAGTTATTTTCATTAAAGAGTTTTTAAGTGTTTCATTCCTTTGTCACTCCCTCACTTCCCATAAAGCTTGTGGATTCCTTTTTTCCTCCTAATTTGAATCCCTTCACCTTTCTTTCCATTCCACTGATAAGGTGTGGTGAACTTAGCAGGACCAGCCACTACATCTATGCCGTGTAGAAATGAAGCAGTGAGCAGGTGCTTACTGTAATCCTCGCCAGGCGACAGCATATGCCGGGCGGTTCTTTTTAGAAGGCAGCCAGGAGAAGTCAAAGTGGACAACTAAGCTGCCCCCGTCCCTCTTTCACCTCCTTTCTGTTATCCTGTGCCATCATAGCGTCCTACTGCTCTGTGACCCAGAAAGATACTGTTTAGGGTTGTGATGGAGGCCAGCGCATGTATGAAAGATTTCATTTGTTTATTTTACTCCTAAAGTCACCACCATGTTATTGAATCATTTTAATTGGCTAACAATTTTAGTACAATTAAAGTTTTATGCTTTAATAACCTTCAGCTTTTTTGTTTATTATCTATCCTAGTTTAATTTTGATGGCACAATTGAGACAGATCATACTTGTCTTCCTTAAAATGAAACAATGTTGGAACTGAATTGTGGCTGCTTTTACAATAGTATGAAGTTTTATTTGCACGTGGGTGCCCATGCTCAGTTTGACAGAATCTGTGTGCCACATGCTCGATGGCGTTTAATCTCTAGGAGGGCCAAACCAGATATTCGGATCAAAGGGCTTCTTCCCTCTCACACGTACCCTGTAATTCCACAGCTTAAATTTTTGACACTGTGAGTGTTTTTCTAGCATCCCAGTGAGTCACATGACCTTTCACTCATTCTGTAGTTCATATAAATCTGCTGCTTCTCATTATGATCTCTTTATTTCTTTTTTAGATTGTTCTCTTCCTAAATGTGAATCCAAACTGGATGGCCCGGGACAAACTGCAGGTATATCGGAGCTTATTTGATGGTTTTTTTTTTTTTTTTTGTTATTTTATTTTCAAAGACTATAATTTAATGGATATGATTAATTTACATAAATGAACAATAAGGGATAGTATTCTATCAACTTGAAAAGGATTGTTATGATGATTTGTAGTGGGTTCCTATGTAACAATTCATTTGAATAGCCTTAGTTTGGAGAAACAGAGTAATCCTGACCCGATTGATGAACTAACAGCTAGAATGAGCTATTTGTAAAACAACTCAGTTTAATTTAATAAAGGCAGTTCAAACCTTGGGTGTTGTGACTGATGACCAGCTGACCTTTAAAGATCACACTGTCTCTGTCGCTCGTTCATGCTGCTTCGTGCTGCATAACATACGAAAGATCAGACCGTACCTAACACAATATGCCACCCAGAATGCAGCAGGGCATCTGGTCTTCAATCAACCTAAAAGAACACATGTCACCCTTCTGTTCATTTAGCATCATGGCTACCGTTAGCTGCACGCATCAAATTCCTCAACTGGCTCCTCTCGATGTGGAGGAGCAGCGGGTCTACGCCGAGCCCCTCCCGAATCTCACCCTATCGCTTAGGGAGAGCCCAGCCACTCTTTGGAGAAAACTAATTTCGGCCGCTTGTATCCGCGATCTCGTTCTTTCGGTCACTAACCAAAGCTCATGACCATAGGTGAGGGTAGGAATGTAGATCGACCGGTAAATCGAGAGCTTTGCCTTCTGACTCAGTTCTCTCTTCACCACGACAGACCGGTACAACACCTGCATCACAGCAGATGCAGCACCAATCCGCCTGCCAATCTCACGCTCCAGTTTTCCCTCACTCATGAACAAGACCCCGAGATTTGTAAACTCCTCCACTTGGGGCAGGACCTCATCCCTGACCCGGAGAAGGCATTCTATCCTTTTCCGAATCAAGACCATGGTCTCAGATTCAGATAGTGTTTGTTGTTAGCCTCAAATGCAACCTGATGGCTTGATTATCACCTGCAAGTTGCTTTGGACATAAACATATAATTAATCACTAGCAACACCAGTTGATAGATAGATAGATAGATAGATAGATAGATAGATAGATAGATAGATAGATAGATAGATAGATAGATAGATAGATAGATAGATAGATAGATAGATGATAGATAGATGATAGATAGACAGACAGACAGACAGACAGACAGACAGACAGACAGACAGACAGACAGACAGACAGACAGATAGATAGATGATAGATAGATAGATGATAGATAGATAGATAGATAGATAGATAGATAGATAGATAGATAGATAGATAGATAGATAGATAGACAGACAGACAGACAGACAGACAGACAGATAGATGATAGATAGATAGATAGATAGATAGATAGATGATAGATAGATAGACAGATAGATGATAGATAGATAGACAGACAGACAGACAGACAGACAGACAGATAGATGATAGATAGATAGACAGATAGACAGACAGACAGACAGACAGACAGACAGACAGACAGACAGATAGATAGATAGATAGATAGATAGATAGATAGATAGATAGATAGATAGACAGATGATAGATAGATAGACAGATAGATGATAGATAGATGATAGATAGATAGATAGATAGATAGATAGATAGATAGATAGATAGATAGATAGAGATAGATAGATAGATAGATAGATAGATAGATAGATAGATGATAGATAGATGATAGATAGATAGATAGACAGATAGATGATAGATAGATAGATAGACAGACAGACAGACAGACAGACCCATCCTCTAAGGGAGCAGTGAGCTGCATACACGGCGGCATTTGGGAACTATTTGGTGGTTTAATCCCCTTAATGTGTGCGAAGTGGAGAGGCATTGGGTCCCATTAGCTCTTTTTACAAGTAGGTTTGGGCATCGTTTGATTTTGAACAATTCCGATTCTGATTCCAATTCCAATTCCACGTTTCGATTCCGGTTCCCATCGATTCCCGATTCCGATTACGGTATTTCAAGACATGACATGCTTTACATGAGCAAGCTTAACACAGGTCCTACTTTATGAAATAATCTTAACTTCAACATGAATTTTAATAAATGAACAATAACATCCCTTCATTTAGAGAAAAACGTGTTTTGGAGAAAAAAAGAAAAAGACTTGCAGCACAAGCAGTGTGTTTGTTTCTGACCATGACCAGAGTCTAGAAGAAGCCTCTGGGATGAGAGGCTAAATGTTGAACCCTTGAACCTCTAACACGTTATTGTCTAGGTTTGTGGGATGAGCAGGGCAGTCAGGTGGCCTTTATTAGGGTACACAGCTTTGATTACATTCAGAAAATGACTGACTATAGTTTTCAGTTTATTTTCTTTTTGGACACATTGTTGTTGTTCAGAGATTTTCTATTGGAAGTTCAATTTACATTTTACTTAGTCCACACCAGGAAGGCTGACACAGAAGTGCATTTGAGTTGTCATGCTGAGCATGAACATGAAAACGTTGAGTTCAGATGCATGTCATGTGGGATTTTCAGTAATGAACTACAGCAAAAGGAGCGTGTCATCATCAGTGGACTGTGTTTGGTTTAGCCCAGAGTCTGATGGGTTAGACATGGTTATGAGCCGATGTTTTCCAACTGGGTCACCCAGGGATGGAAATAAGACTGTTTTCCAATGACGGCTTGGCCTATTATTCCCATTTGCCAAAATGTGTTTGGTGATAATGTGAAGTGATTGGAAGATATACAAGCCAAATCCTGTTCACAAGCCTTTGGCTCACAACCTCTTTGAACTTCATCCCTAAGACCAGCTCACACTAACTAGGTCTGTGTTGCTGTCTGAAAGCTTCTGTTCAAGAGAAGCAGAAATGTGTGAGCCACTCACAGAAAATCAGCAAATACTGGCTTTATTGTTTATACTTTATTTAATCACCACGAGCAAACACAACGAATTTGCAATCAAATGAAATGTCATTATAAGAAATTGTTTTGAGAACTTTAATTATGACATTAATTTTCAAGTGTCCTAAAATACTTTTTTTTGTTTTTGACCTGAAATCTTCATAGCTGCTTATTATATGTCACGTTTAGGAGAGGAGGTTGGACCCAGGATGCAGAAGTACCCAGGATGACTCAAAGGCAGGAGAGGTTTTAAGAAAGAAGATAATTCCTTTCCTGAAAGATGATGTGCTGAAAAGTCCAAAGCACAAAATAAGACTAACATGCAAAAACCTGAAAACCCAAAACTAGCAAAGCTCACACATGGGCATTGACTCGGAGAGACTCGAGAGGGGAACAAACAACACAACACTTAGGACAATGACCCAACAAACACTGAAGGACAAGACAGGCTTTTAACACAGAGGGAAGCAATCAGGGGAACAGGTGACAGGTGTGAGGAGTGAGGCCTAGAGCAGGGGTGGGCAATTATTTTTTCCATGGGGCCACATGAGAAATAGAAAATATTGTGGAGGGCCAGGCCAAAAGGCTGAAGTCAATTATGCATAATATTAATGGCATTTCTTTATAAAAAGCAGTAAATACCATTGTTTCTTCAAGCTGGTAAGAGTAGACTATATGTTATAAATGAGCAAAAAGGAAAAAGTGAGGTTGTCTTACAAAAATGTGATTTATTCAAATTTCCCAAGGCAATGGTAAACAAAGTGTGCACATTTGGTTTTTGTTAAACATTTGTGACTTATATTAGTTAACAGTTTCAGTCACAATCACTCCAAAACACATTCTGAGTTTCAAATATTGTTGGAAAGAGGTTCTTAGCATTCTACAGACACACAGTATTGTCTGTAAAATAAAATCACTGAACTGTGATCTTGAGAAAGAGGTTTAAAAAAAGTGTCCCAGTTCACTGCTAGTTGCCTACATTTGTGGTCCAAACACCTTATTTTGTGTTTTTAAGTGATTTTTTTCTTATTCAGTGAGAGAAATCTAGTCTCTGCTGGGCTTTAACGAGTGCATCAAAGTCAGGTTGAATGTCTGAGGTGGAGAAGCGAAGCACAGCTGACAAATGATCATCAGTGAGAGAGGATCTATACCTGGATTTTGTAAACTTCATCATTGAAAATGTTTGTTCACAAATGTAGGTAGAGCTGAAGAGAACCAACATCTTCTGAGCATGTCTCCTCAGGTTTGGAAAGTCCTCCTTAAGAGAAGAGTAGAAATCCAGCAGAGATCCTGAATCTCTGCTTTCAAGTCCCAAACCCTCTTCAGCACTTTCCCCAGGCTGAGCCATCTGACAGCTGTGTGGAGTCCTCCACAAGAGCCACAAACTGTCTGTGATTCATGGCCCGCGCCCTGATGAAGTTCATTATTTTAGTAACAACATCAGTAACATGGTTGATTTTTAGCACTGACTTGCACAACACATGTTGGTGTATAATTCAATGCAAAAACACCTATTTTTGATCTGCATCGATTTCTGTCACTTTATCTTGCATGCGTTTCAAAAGTCCGACATTTTTCCATGTAAAGCCGGGCGTACACTGTGCAACTTTTTCACTCGCAGCACTCAGCTTCAGCTCAAAGTGTACGACTTCCTTGCAGAGCAGATCTCACGAGTCATGTGCTCACACTGTACGACCCAGTTCTCGTATGCGACCTGACTGCTCACACTGTACGTCTGGTAGCAACACGTCGGCCCTAAAAATGTGCTAAAAATAGCAGTTTTTACTCAACACGTCAGAGTTTTTTGTCTTGTCTTGCCTGTTGTCCTTCGGGAGTGCTGCAGGAGGACACACAGGGATTTATGGGGGATGGATGAGGAAAACGAAATAAAGAAAGTAAATCTGTGTTTTGTGATCAGTTTAATTTGACATGAACACGACAAACACGCTTTCTTGACAATCTTTGTGAGTAAAAAAAACGTGTAGAAACAAAAACGAACAGCGTGTGTTATTAGGGAAATAGCGAGCGACCGGCGTTGATGCAGGATTGCGCGCGCATGCGCCGTGAGCGGTTCTGATACTTTTTGGCTCGCAGCTGCTCGCAGCGCCGCTTCAACAGTGCGATACCCTCACGAGGGACGAGCGAAATATTAAACACACCAGAGTGCGACCACACGACTGCTGATCGGCGGCTGGTCACGTGGTGTTAATCGCCTCTCGTAACCCCCTGTACACTACACGACCGCTCGGCGCAAAACTCGCCCCGATGTCGTGGCTTCTCGCACGACTGGAAAATCGGCTCAAAAAAGTGAAAAAGTCGCACAGTGTACGCCCGGCTGTGACAGTCTCTCCCGTTTCAATCCCAGAGTGTCCGTGCACGCATTTACCTCTGTAAAAAGATCACTCCCTGTCGTTGTCCCTTTCATCGACCGCATTGCTGCCCGCTCCTCTGTGAGCTTGAAGTCCGTTATCCCCGGACAAATACGAGCAGCTGGGCTGTGTCCCGGACATCACAGCTCCCGTCTAATGAGAAAAAGTCCAAACTTGCCACTTCACGTTGCAGCTGAAGCTCCAGGTTCCCCGCAATGTCCTCAATCCTCCTGGTCACGGTTCGCCTGGACAGCGGGATTTGCTCAAATGCGCCTTTTTTTTTCAGGGCATATTAGTGCGGCAGAGTCCACCATGCACTCTTTGACAAACTCTCCCTCCGAAAACGGCTTGCTGTTTTTAGCTATTTTGTGGGATATCACAAAGCTGGTCCTGGTTGCTGCATCCCTGGATGTGTGAAGCTTAGTAAAAAAGCCTTGCTGCTTTTGCAACTTTGCAAGCAAAGCTTCGGATGTCCGTGCCCTCTCAGCTCTCAGCATCAGACAAGTTCTTGTATTTTTCCGAGTGTTTCTTGTCGTAATGCCGACTCAAATTGTAGTCCTTAAACACGGCAATCTCCTCCCCGCAAACCAAACACACGGCTTTACCTCCGACTTCAGTAAAAAAAATACTTAGCAGTCCAATTTTTGTTGAAAATCCTGCATTCGGCATCTTTCTTTTTTTTTTTTTTTTTTTTTTTTTTGCATGAGCGGACATTTCTCAGGCTACAATCACCATGTCAACCGCGGGCACTTGTTGCTATACGTATTGCGTCATTGTGCACGTAAAAAACAACTTCAAAATAAAAGCAATGCAGCCTTAGCCCATGCATGAGGTAAAATGAGAAAATACATTTATTTTGTAATTTCCAATTAACCTTACGCGGGCCGGTCAAAGTCAACCAAAGGGCCGGATGTGGCCCGCGGGCCGTAAAATGCCCAGGTCTGGCCTAGAGGGAGGACAGGTGAAATCAATTAACTAAATGGGAAGGGGAAAACCAAGCAGAGGAGAAGATAACATAACCTATAAAAACACTAAATAACTAAACCTAGAAACTAATTGCAGAAATAAACAACTATTAACTAGAGGGGTGAGGAGGACTGAAGCAAACAAATGGGAATTACAAGGGAGTGACTAGGGGAACACAAGAAGACACATGAGGAGAACCTGAGAGAGAACAGGAGGGGGCTGGGGACCAAGGAGACACAGAACAGGACATTATAATGTAGTTTTGCCCATGATGACGTGAATTAATTTGAGTACTCATTCATGCTTTAAATATGTCGGTAAGAAGAATTGATAATTAGTTGCTCTCATATCCGTTTTGTTCTGGTTTTTTTTTACTTTACTCTTTTCTTTTGAACCTGTTCATATAAGTGTTGAGTTTTGCTCATCCTGAGTGTTTCTACTTTTAGATATTTATTTTACTAGTTTCTTCCTGTCAAAGGACTCGACATGACGTCAGTGAAGAATTTTCTGTTCGCTCTAAATTTAGGTATTTTTGCTAACAGGATTTAAGGAGCATTGGTCTTTTTATAGAATAGTTTGTTCAAAGCTCCACGTGTTGTAGCTCATTGTAAGGCGGCCGCCGTGTCTGTTTGGCTAATTAGCAGAAGGAAGAGAAAGGATGCATGTGCAGTAACAGAATAATTGTCTTGCCTATTGAGTACCGCTAGTTTAGAGTGATGATGACTGTTTAAAAAAATCTCTAATAACAAATGGAAATACACAAATGCATTTCTCCTGCAGCGAGACTCGACACATGCACACATTTAGCATTTACATGTGTTTTGTAGACACTTGACCACAAAATCACAAGTGTCCCTAAAACACTCTTTGCCTGCATATGGACTTACAGACACAGCATGCTTAGAGTAAACAGTTGGACCATTACCAGATATGCTCTGGCTCTCAGAGCGAGATAATCTGCCACAGCAGCCAACTGGCTTTTCAGTCAGGATGATTCTGATCTCCTGTTGTACTAATAAGATGTAGCATGCTTGGTTTGTTAGATGGGAACTATGGCTGGCTTGAAAATGAAGGTAACTTTGTGAACCTGAAGGTCGTATGTTTCTGTTCAGGTTAATTCAGCAGTGAGCTCAGTCCTTCTAGCCCAGGCTAACCGAAGCAGCCAGCCCCATGCTTCCTCATGGTGTAGTTCTCTGTGTAGAAACGGGACGAGTCTGGCAGGCTAGGCTAATCCCTCTTCACACTGAGCTCACTGTGATTGCTATTGAACTCGGCCTTGAATGCTAAGCATGTGCACCGCAGGTAGACAAGCAGCCAGGCGTCGCGCCTCCTCAGTCTCACGCACGCACGCACGCACACAAGCAAGCAAGCAGTAGAGGGAGTATTTCTCCTGAGCTCATTGGATTGTTTTCTTTTATTCTCCCCTGCAGAGATCAGGATGGGGACAACAAGACTATTTACAGATGCATTTCAGTGTTTAAACGACTTTTCTTTACTCACCTAGATTTAAAACTTTTTGGATATTGTTAGTTTTGTTCTCCTAGAGTGAATTATTTCACCATAGTAACCCTTTTTGTTAACTCTCAAGTGCAAACATCCATCCAAAATAAAAACAGGATGAAGTTGAAGACCAGGATGGCAGGTTTTAGATATGTGAATCGTTGGATTAATGTTTTTTGTTCAGGTTGATCGTGCTTTTGTTTCACTCCTGCTATGTTTTTTCCAGTTTTACCAGTCTCACGCCACATTCTATTGTGATTTTGTCTCCTCAGCACACTAGACGTTTGTTCTCTTTCAGTTTTGGAAAACAAATGTTTTCAGTTTTCGTCCCTTATTTCTTCATAGGTCTGTGTTTGAGTCCTTCATCTCCTTTCTCACATTAAAACATCATTTATACCTGACTTCCTCCTATTTGAAAAGTTTTATTTTTAGACCTGTGTGAAACTGCCCTGATACTTTTTTCTATTCTCACACATTCAAGTAGAGCAAAAGGGGGAAAATCCAGTTAGACTTCCTGCCGTGTCAGACACAGGGACAGCCAGACTTTGTTTTTCATCTGTGTGCTCCATTGAATTCAGGTTGTGTGTTTGTGTGTGTGTGTGTGTGTGTGTGTGTGTGTGTGTGTGTGTGTGTGTGTGTGTGTGTGTGTGTGTTTGTGTGTAGGTCGTGTAACTAAAGGGCAAAAGGAAATACTCGTCCTGCAGTAATGAACTGTTATTTGATCGTGTCTCTTGGTGTAAAATATGTAATAACTTACTTATGGGTGTTCTAATTCGTCAAACACATTATGAATTTAGGTCTTGTCTGTAAAAAAATAAATCTGTTAGACAGAAATCTTAGATTCAGACTCAGGACCAAAGCATGGGGTAAAAACTAGTGATGCACCGATATGAAATTTTTGGGCCGATACCGATATCCGCTTTCAAAATCACTGTTATGGCCGATAACCGATATTTGCCAATACCGATATACTGGCGTTAATACTTCTAAAATCATCAGATTTGGTATAGAATGAAAATTATTAAAACTGATTTTATTATGTACACACAACACACACACATTTATGGTTCTGAGATGATTTCATTCACTGTTCTCTTGACTAAACAGTTACACATCACCCCCATCACCCTCTAAAACAGGCAAACAAATGGAGACAAGATGGAAAAACATATCATTGTTAATATCAGCCCAGTTTTATTTATTGAACCGATAACCGATATGTTAAAAAATGACTAACATCGGCCGATACCGATATTGATGCAGATATATTGCCCATCCCTAGTAAAAACACACATCAGCACCTAGCAAACACCAGGGCAGAGTCATTGATCAGATTCACTAGTATGGATTTTTCTTAATTGCTATTCATAGCAGCTCCCTGCTTTGTGCACATATAAACAAACCCCTCAGACATAAATACACCACCATCTGCTAATTTGCTCCATCTGTTGTGAGCTGAATGCTCCCCTGAAGTCAACTGGAGTTCGTCTGCAACATCACATTTCCAACTTCCATCCCAATCTCTCTGAAGGTCAGACTCTAGGAGTTTTTTGTGATTTGTGTTTTGTAGGAAGCCTTTTCTTAAACTACAGATGAGCAACGCTATGTCAGCAGCCCCGCTATCTCCAAACCCTCAGATTATTTCTGTTTCCCACCTCATCATCATCTTCATCTTCATCGTCATTATCTTTGTCCTCTGACTCTCAGAGGCTGATCTTTTTCTGGAGAGCACTGATGCATCAAGAAGCCAGGTTCCGCTCTGTCACCCGTCCAATCGCCAGCGACCCCTCCCCTGAACATCAGCCAATTGCTCTCCGGAGATGGCCCGTGGGGGAGGGGCTGCACTGTCACAGATGGGAGGAGGCGAGATGTTGGTGTGCGTGTGCTCGCTTGTTGCTCCTTGACTTGAGGAGTATAAAGGATGCTTGGCTGCTCCAGCAACAGAGGAACATGATTGTAAAGCCAGCTCCATCCTCTACAGCTGATGCATTTTCAGGTTTTCATTGTGTTGCTGCAGAATTAGATGCCTACTTACTGTAGAGGATTATTCATCTTTTTTATTTGTTGAAATGGCCGGTGAAGCACTATCGGACCCTTTTTGGAACTGTATTTGTGACAACATGATAGTAATTGAGATTATTTTCTTGATCAAGCAGATTTGTGACTCTCGGACTGCTGCAGAGACTCAGAACTAGATGATCACAAAGAGACCTGAATGTTTTTGTGACCTTCACTCATGAATACCCAGTTTGTGTTTGTTGCATTGGGATTAACCACAGGAAGATGACTGGCAAACTTGCAGAGAAACCTGCGAGATGAGGGCCTAGACTCTTGACAAACTTGATTATTCTTTTTAGAAGTGGAAGTTTTACGTCTGTCACCTCTTGGTTTATGGATGACATCCCTCCCATTCCAAACATGCTACTTGCTTTACTGGTCATTTGACTGGTTTTAGTGGAACTAAAAACAAGCTGTAGACATGTCCATCCAGATCCTGTCTGTGTCTCCTGGTAAGTATGACATGATTCTGCACAGCTAGAATGAATTATTTAGTGTCAGGGGAGCAAAGAACCGCAGCAGAGACAAATTAGGATGTGCTGATTTCTTTTTGCGGTGTTTGGCTGCAAACTCAGCAGCCTCATGGAGAAGTAATTTTGGTCTGGAGGCTTACTAATGAATGCATGCAACTTAGGGAGTCTCACCTCTACTCCTGCAAAGATTTGTGTTTTCATGGATGATTGTTGGTTTGCAGTGCTGATACCAATTTCTGATGTTTGCACAGCTCTCTGACCTGCGGATATGGATTTTAGCTCAGTCCAATTCAACTACAAGAGCTCTAACCAACAAAATACATTTAATTTAATTTTTATTTTTTATTTCAGATAAAATGAAAAATCATAATTATGGAAATACAAAACTTACTCATGAAATCTGCTTGTCAACAAGTGCATTCATAAGTTAAAAAGATAAAATCTGATTTGGAGTTTGCGATCAACCAATCATCAGCTAAGCCGATCATGCTCAATGTCGGGTCCAATAACCAGCTTACATACCGGTGCCTCTCTAGTGGCATCAGTCATAAAGAAGATTTAGGAATGGTTAACCTAATTTTTCCAGCTTTTGTTGGCATAAAATACAATTATGTATTTTTGAGCTGAAATGCTATAAAAAATCTTTGATCACTATGCTGAAATTTTTGGGAAAAACTCTGTAAAAAGGAAAAAGTGAACCAATCAATCTGACATTTAGCCAGTTCAAATCATAAGCTAATTGTGTTCCGTATTAAAGAATTATACATTACCATGCAGACGAAAAACTGACTGCAGAAACCTTAAAATAGAACATTTTTAATTAGTACATTTTTGGGATCAGAGTAGTTTTAAGATGGAATCAAACCTTTACTTTAGCCGTGTTGTGATTTGTTGTTTTCTTGTCAGTCTGATCAGAAATAATCTCTTTGTCTCCAAACTGAGGTGGTTCAAGGAGCTATCTATAAAATGTTACTTAATCCTAAATGTTTTACAAAAACTCAAAAGATCTGAGTTGCTTTAAAGGTATTTAACATAAACAGAAAAATAAAATACAACAAACAATAACAATGAAATAGAGCAGCATTTAACTATAGGAGGTGTAATTGTTGAAAATACCTCAGAAATGTAAAATTGTAATGCTTACGTAAATTAACGGTCAACAACACTGTAGTTGAGACACCCCCACTCCTCCACTGACACCATATGACCCCAAATAGACAGAGAGAAGCTTCTTGACCATGAAGAAAAGTGAACCGATCCGTAAAAATTTAATATTTAAGCAGCTCGTCAATATGAATTTCCCTGCAGCTGGATGATGGGAATATGAGGGTCGGGAATGCTGGGAACGTTTGCTTTAATGCATTCCTATTACTCGCTTTGCTGTTTAATGAAAACAAGGTCGGGTTGTGGAGACTACTTTAAAATGTGTCTTTGAAAACTTAAAACCCACTAATCTGCCTTTACCTTCTTGATTTATCTTCGGAGTCTTTGGTGGGGATGAAAATAGTTGGTGTTTTTTTTTTTTTTTTTTAGGAATGTCTAGAAATAAACTACTAAACCTAAATGGTTATGCTGGTGTGCATAATTCAGGAACAGCGTTCTCACTTTATTATGTTATGTGCTGAGGTGGGGATTAAACGTATGTTATAGTTTTTGTTTTGGATCCGCACGAGCACAAAAGCCAACCAGTTTATTTTGCACAATATTTATCCTAGAACTTAATAAATAATTAAGATTTTTCTTTTGTGTTTTTGTGAGTAATAGTTGTATTTGTTGTACAATAGCTGTATATTGTCTGCATGTATTTGAACCCCTGAAGTCACAAAGCCCTCATCAAAATGTGCTGAAGATACTAATTTAGGTTATAATCTTTTGTTTTTTTCTTCCTTCTCTTCATCTGTGTCCTTTTGAGCCTCTCCAGGGGGATGCTAGGAACTGAGACACCCAAGAGTCTATGCAAAATGTGGAAAATATCCAAATGAAATTAGATTTGGAACGACTCAACTGTCTGAATTAGTGTGAAATGTTTCCATTTGTAGAAATACTGTCGTAAATCGGTGGGGAAATTATCAACATGTTTCTCGTAGTGTAGCCCATGTTGTTGTTTAGTAAATGATTGTTTTTTTAGCTCATGCAAAGGAACTGGCTTCTCTGTTGGAATGTTTCTGCACATGTGCATGTGGTTATTCATGCATACAGGTCAGATGTTCCATCCGATAGTCTTGTAGCTCCATGTTTGTATAAACCAGTTGTTTTCTGGGTTGTAATAACAACAGGAAGCCACAGGATCCACCAGCTACCTTCTGGCATGGAGATGCTTTGGAGCCTGCAGTTGGCTGTCTCTCTCTCTGTGTGTGTGTGTGTGTGTGTGTGTGTGTGTGTGTGTGTGTGTGTGTGTGTGTGTGTGTGTGTGTGTGTGTGTGTGTGTGTGTTCAATGGGACTTTGGTCTTTGTTGAAAGCAACTCTAGTGAAAACCTATTCAAAGAACAAAGGTGTGACATGACGAGGGAGGAAAAACAAGATCCGGATAGAAAATGACAAGACAAGCGTGTTAGTTACAGAAAACCCTAAGTTAGGAAGAAAGCTGCAGAGGATGTTAAAGGAGAAAGATATGCTGTTTTGCACCAGCAGCTCATAAACAACCTCTCCTCTGAATGTGCTCACACACACACAGAAAACCAGCATTATTAAAGAATAACGTATGGAAGGGCTAAAGATCTGCACGGCGTGGATCCTCCGGGACCAGGATCTGACTGCTGAGTTTGTGAACAATAGTGATTCTGCGTCTAGCAAGCTGGCTGCCCTGCAGGTCCACAATAACAGACGCATCACAACAAACAAGCTGGAGGGGATCACTTTGGTCTCCTGGGTGGATTTTTGAAGCAAAAGCTGAACATCTGCTTCACTTTTCTCATTTTTCTGAAATCAAGACCAACAATATATCAACTTTAAACTGAATTGTTTACCACAAGTTTAACAAATTATCGTATTTGTTAACTTTTTTTTCGAAACAACGTATTATTTTATGTGAGTAATTTCAGCATTATCACAATGCTTTTGTTAATTTGATGGATATGAATTCTGTCCCATGTTAATTGTTGGGTTGGTCCCTCTGGTTTGCAGGAGCAATTAATCCTATTATCAGAGCTCAGCTGTCACTCCAATGCTGTCAGCTGAGGTCATGGAGAGGCTGACCTGAGAGTTCTGCTGCAAACTGATGACCCTTAGATTTTGTCGAGGGATATACGAAACTGGAATTGTGTCACTGCTACATACTTGTCTTCTATTCATTATGCCAACACATGCACAGGTTTTATTGTGGATTGACTCATCTGTCATCAGTCAATAGAAATGTGGCATTGGTGGACATAAAATACAATATCTTCTCAAATGTCAGTCATTGGGATTTTTTTGGCTATTTTAAAGAATGTTTGTAAAAATGTTTAAAAATCACTACCCTGTCCATTATAGGCAGCTTCCTAAATAGTCTGAGTTGTAAGAAATAGATTTTATGTCAGACAGCTAATTTCAGTCCAGCCAAGATGAAAGTGTGCTGATGTTTTGAAATAGCTTCAATCTCCTGGATTTTAAGGGCGTTCTGCTGTTAATTTAATGGCTGTTCTGGATGCTATATATAAGAGTTAAGATAGAAAGTATAGCTTTTTCACAGAAACACACTTCAAAATGCTTAAATTGTCATTTGTAAGTGATTTTTACTTATTCTGATGATATGTTGATATTACATAGCAATTTGGTGCAAACGTGTACCTGTTTCACATTGTGTGCATTTGGATGTATTTGTTTGATTTGTTTGTCAGCTATTTATGTCTAATGTACATTTGCACTTTATAGGGGACATATTATGTTCTATGATCTATAAAAAACTAGGGGAACATCCAAATTACGATGAACTAATCGGAATAAAATAACAGCTTGAGCCCAAGCGTCCCTTAAATGGGATCCAAAAAGTTTTGCATAACAATTTATGCCATATTTATCAATAAATATCAACAAGCTGGACCTCTGAAAAACCACAGAGAATGGGCTACAAGACAATATAAACCTTTTTATTTGCTTTAAACAATTTGAACTACAATAAAATGAATCATGATAAATCACTCTTTATATAGAAAAGGAAAAAAAAACAATGTTTTACTGCTATGTTTTCTATCTGGTAGAAAGCAGGCAGGGGGTACATTTATCTATATTAGCTTTATTACAGCAGGAGGGACAAGCATACATGCAGCATTAATCTTGTAGCTCTCAGCAGAACTTCCCCTGAACTCTACACTACACCTCTATATTTAGTAGCAGTGCTCTGCTGCCACCTAGTGTTCAGCTCAGTATACAACAATGTTCCATGTGATTTACATTTAATCAACAATACATTTACTAATGTTTACACATTCAGTTCCATTCTTTTTATTATATAGCACCAAATCATGAGAAGAGTCATGTTACTTCACAAAGTAAACTTCATAAAGTAAACTTTCCAATTCATTCATTATGCCACTCTGTAAAAAGTTTCTTACATAAGAAACCCACAGATTGCCTCAAGTCAGAGTCTTTACAGTAATCCTCATACAAAGCAAGCATGTTGTGACAGTGGAGAGGAAAACTCCCTTTTAACAGGAAAAATCATCCCAACAAATCCCACAATGGTTGCCTTTATAATGAGACCAAAGTAATCAAATAGTTACATAAATATACTCATTAAAGTGTGGGTGTGTCATCTGTGCCTCACTAACATTATTTGAAACAAAAAACATTGCTTGGCGGCAAATGGTCTTGAAAAAATAAAATGCGATTAATCAGAATTAATTAATTACAAAGCCCATGAATAGTTAGATAATTTTTAATCAAGTCCCACCCCCAATAAAAACATGTTTGGGAAGTTCTAAGCATAACACTAAGCTGTTTTAACAATGCCAATGTCAAGTTCATTTATAAAGCACATTTAAATACAATACAAAGATTGCCCAAAGTGCTGTACATCAGCAAACAACAATCAAACAAAAACAGCAACAACAGAATAAAAAGAGGAAAATTACATATAAATCAAGGTTAAGATCAATTAAAGGCAAGAGTAAAAAAGTTTGTCTTTAAAAGATATTTAAAACTACAAACAGAATTTGTGGTCCAGATGATGAGCTATTCCACAGTGTCGGGGCGGCTATAGAAAACGTTCTATCCCCCTAGACTTTAGCCTAGACGGCGGAACTCTCAGGAGATGTTTAGATGAGGATCTCAAGGCCCTCGAGAGAGCGTGAACAATAAGAAGCTCAGCCAAATAAGAAGGCGCCAAACCATGTAAGGCTTTAAAACATAATACCGTTTTTTATAATTATCCTGTAATCTACAGGGAGCCAGTGGGGGTCTACAGAACCGGAGTAATACGCTCTCTCCTTGACAAAAGACGAGCAGCTGCATTCTTTGCAACCTGTAGGCGATGGATGGAAGACTAGCAATTTTAATCGTGACAGATTCAGTATGAACAGTTTCAGGACTCTGTCAAATTAAAAAGACAAGATGGAGCTGGCCACACCCACCCATCCCCCGCTCAGGGGGCTATAAGCTGAAAATATTCTAGACATCTGGGAGGGGTTCATAGTGGAGCCACTGCTCATCCAGCAGCAGCTCCCTCTGTCACATGAGAAGTGGTTCGAGTTTAATTTTCCCATTTGTGACATCACAAATGGGGACTTGTTAAAATGGCTTGCTTTAGGCACATAGTTCCTAAAACCAAGTACTGACAGAAAACCAATAGATGGGTTAGTAGAGACCCACATGGCAGTCCAAAATATGCTAAATGTAAGTTTTACATAATATGTTCCCTTTTTCTTAGAACCTCTTGAATTCCCATCTGAAAGTTTATTGATAATATCTGACTCTTTGGCTTCTCAATCACTTTCTGTTTTCAGTCTCTCTTCTATTTTCTCCTGAGAAACGTAACACAAGGACCCAATTCTCTCTCTGCTACCTGCTTGTGAAGAGTTACTTGGTCTCTGTGGGTTTATTGGCTCAATTTTGTTGTCCATCAGAGTGATTGGGTGCTTTGGTCATGGCAGGCTGCTGATTGGTGCTCTCGGAGCCGTACAAAGCGTCCTCTGCTCTGCTTCATTGATGTGTTGATACGGCTCAGCTGGCTGCCCAGAGACTTCCTACTGTATTCTGCTGTGGGCGGACAGATGTGCATGGATGCTCAGCACTGAAAAGACTTTTCTTCTTTGTAGTCACAGTTGCAGTCACACTTGGCCTCCTTGTTACAGAAACAGTGTCAGTTATAACATGGAGACATTGTTTGAGGTCACAGCAAAGTCCAGTGTTTGACTGGACTTTGGATCACTGTCCTGTTACTGAAGATAGATTATTAAACAAGTTATTTCTCCTTCTTTAGAAGTTATATATGAATTTGTTAGTCTAGTTGCCATCTCTAACCATATCGAGGACATTTCCAGGTCATTATTGTCATGTTGTGCATTTGCAGCTCCAGTGACCTGACTTATCACTCATCCAGTGTTCTTAGAGCTGACTCTTCACTTTCTTAAAGGTAACAAACCTTCATAGTTATTTAATCCAACCAGATTCATCACACATATTCAAAACCTGACCTGCTTGCATGAATTCACCAACACAAGATGCTCCATTTTCTGTGTTTTTGATTCCCTTTCAACAATTTACAGAATATTTAGCAGCCTGCAGAACTTAACGTGTTTGTTTTGATCCATACACAAGTTGTTCTCGGTGTACTTACCGGTACTTAATCATGGGATTTATTTGGTTCAAGAACAGTTAAAACTGGTAGGTGCTACTGCTAAATGAAGCTGTAAATATAAAAACTTGTATTTTTTTATTTGATTACTAGATTTGAGCAGAAAAAGAAAAATATAATTGTTCATAAACTTTTAAGTGCTAACTCGTGACTTCTGTTGACCTTTATTTTATGCCAGCATTGACTTTTTATTTTTAAAGTCCCAAAGAGCAAAAATCCTGTCTTTGTGTGCTGAGTGAATGTGGTCTTATTTCATTTCTTAGCTGAAAGGATCCTGGCCCCTGAAGAACAACTCCGTAGATAAATGTCATGTGGACTTTTGTGAGTATTTGACTCCAACTTTGCACAGGAAGAGGCAAATTACACACTTAAAATTACACGCTGATGATGCTACTTTGGTGTTTTGAGGTGGATTGACGTGTGTTATTCAGGATGTGAAAACAAAAATATTCAAGCAGGATTGTAAATAAATGATTTAGTTATCAGTGTGTCTACTTTGATAAATTGGTTCATTTTAGGTATAAAAATAGTAAACATGTTTTTCTAAAATAATTTAAATCTAAGACTTGCAAAATGTTGGTAGTCAGAGTCTTAACTTGTGATTAGTTCTTTCTAAATTATTTATAGTCCTTTGATATTGCAAAAAGATTGCACTGACCGACAGAGTCCGAGTGTTGCAGAGAAGATTACAACCAATCATTTTAAAGCCTATTTCACTCATAAATCCAGGAGCAACAACTTTTTGGCAGGCTTATCCTTTTTTTCTCTGTGAGTAAATAGGCACACAGACATGGGAGAAACTTTACATGCAAAGCAGCGCTTGTTACTAAATCTTGTTATGGGGAGGGGTTAGTGACACGAGTGGCACACGGCAAAGAAAAGCCATTTGGTGAAGGCGAAAAGAAGCTGGCAGTGTCTTTGGCCTTCTGTGGCTCAATGGGTAGCGGGGCGTTGACCGATATATGGCACGACTGCTGTTCTGTTGCCGTACAACAAAAAGTACAGTGAGAAGGCTGGAACTGGATGAGGGAAAACCTTGTAAGCCTCTGTTGGAAGTAGCTTGTTGGAATTTAGCTGGTTGGGGCTGGTTTTGGTTTATGATGGCTGTGCTGGATAACCACAGCTGGCAGTACGCCCAGGCTGGGAAAATATTGATCAGACTTTCAGGTAGGACATTTGGTCATTTTCATTCAAACAGTGGTCAAATAAGGTCAAGTCAAGTGTTCAATGATGTTTTGGCAGTCGGAGATGTGATGAAAACTTGTCTTGAAAAGCTCAAGATTGTATCTATTGTCTAATAAATGTTCATATACAAGTCTTAATTTACATGATGGACAAAAATAATTTGTGTCTGATGTTTTCATTGAGTCGTTGCGTGGGATCTTTGTTTTTGCCCTTCTGCAGAATGAACAATTTTAGCTCACACTTTGAGATTTACAACATTCGCAGAAAATCAGATTTGAATTTTTCATCCTTTCTTGTTTTGTGGAAGTTAAATTATTCTGGGCTAAATGATAAACCGAACGTATTCTCTACATTATCGCTGAGGCGTCTCACTGCATTTCTTTGTTGCATTTTTTTAGTCCCTCCTCATTTTCAGGGTGCCCTCTTTTGTGTCCTATATTGGTCATTCTGCACAGCTTGCTTTGTGCTGCATAGACACCAAACTGTTTTAGTATCCCATAAATATGTTAAAAGTTAGTCAGTGAGTCCTTTTTTACTGATTGTTGAAAGTGCATGATGAAAAGCAACATCTTGCTTTAAGAGTTTGTAAGCCTGCAGAGCTACAGCCTGCTAGCGATGTGATCAGTGGTGGGTACTGCTGAGATAGAGTAACCAGGACAGCTGGCCTCGGTCTTCAGCACAGGTGTGACCTAGAAGTGCCTGTGAGGAAAGGTAAACAATAAAGAAAGTGCTGTTTGTAACATCAAGTTGAATTTAGCCACTGTAAACTTTGATCCGGTAGCTGAATGTTAAAAATCTAGCAGAATTTAAATCCCTATTCAAGCTTCCCCCAGCTCCATCCCAAAACTTGACAATAGTGAAGTCAGGATGGAGTCTGCTCTGATGCCAGGAGGGAAATTTGTCAGGAAGAGAGAGGCAGACTGAAATCTAACCGCAGCTGGAGAGGAGAGGACATCTAGAGTTCCTGGCATTTCTACAGCACATATGCCAGACTCATAGTCCAGATGTGGTTTCATGGATTCATGTTATTTACTTTTCTTCCTGTAATGACTGAACAAACATTTGATCAATCTAAAGGGTTCACATGGGAGAGCTGAATCCTTTGTCCTCTCACACTGGAGCGCACGTTAAGTTGACCTTTTCTCTTTTATAGTTAGATCAATAGAACCCTGAGAAAACCCACCTTCAGTGCACAGTGCTGTCGTTGCTCTGGGCAGACGCTGGCCAAAGAAATGAAAACACCGAATATCCCATCAAACTTTATTGCTGACAATCAGAAGTTTAAGACTCCGTTCTTCTACTGGCACAGCAATTGTTCCCTTTTTTTAAATGTCACCAATAGGAGAGATCTTTTAGGCTCCTCTGTTGACTGCTAGATACTACATAGAGATAGAGAAACAGAAATCTATAGAGGAATTCTGTTTTCAGGCTCATAATGAGAGCTCAGGTGTCCTGATGATAAAAAATACAGAAAAAAGTTATTTCTTCAGAGCTGATGTTGGAGTAGCCAGCTTGGCTGAAACATTTACCCTAAATCAGAGCTGTTCACGTGAGGTTCAGATTATTTAACACGTTCAGATCTGATGCCACTTGTAACCTACATGTATGCATTTCCAAAGACACAATAATTCCTTCTGAACTGATTGGCTCATGGATTATTATATTTTTTTTTTTTGTTCATTTTTAATTTGGGACCAAAGGCTGTGGAATTGTTTTAGACAGAAATCTGATGTTTCTAAGAGGGTTTCAGAACAGTTCTTTAAGCTAAACTGCTGGTTTAAATGAGTTAAATTTCCACACACACATATCCTGGAATGATCTGATACCTAGATTAGGGTCATCATGATATTGTCCGTTAAAACCAGACACATTACAGGAACCAAGGGTTTCAGGAGCTATTGTGCACTCCAGTTACCACAGTTATACCACAGGAAACAGAAATTATTACCAAGGGAGAAATCCACATCAGAAAATACACCTGGTTGAGAGGTAGTACGTTTGAAATTGCCTAGAACGCTGCTGGACTATTTTTGACTATTGAGTCTAGAATCCCCAAAGATCATCTGTTAGAAATGTGCACATGAAAGAACCGAGTCACCTCACATTTTGGTCTTACTAATTATGGCAACTTGGACTTACAGTGACTTTGCAAAGCCCAGAGAAAATACATACTGACCATTTCTGTTTCAGAACTTTAAAAAGCTGGTTTCATGGACCAGATTTGGAGTTTAAGTGTTTTAATTAATGGCAGTGATTCGGTAAAAATAAGACAATAAACTTCATCAGAACGATACTAAAAACCTCTTATGTCTTAACTATAGCATTGATTCTTATACTGTTATTCACATTTTTCTGTAATGTGTGTATTTTATTTCAACGTGTAGTAAATGGACCACAGGAAAAGAACATTGCATAACCATTTCTGAGATTTGCCAGCTCTTTTAAAGGGCTGAACAAAGTGCTGGCAAATGACGCAGTGGGTTGCCAGTAGTGAAGTCTAGAGGAGCTTTAGAAACGTCAGTAGCTACAGATTCAAAGGCATGAGAGTAGAATGGAGACGAGATGAGAAGTCATAAAGAACAACTCTAGACATTTATAAACAGACAGTTTATTGCAACTCAGTGAGGATTAAAAGCAGTTGAAGAACAGATGTGGGTTGGCACTGAAACACACTTCGTATTTATTCACGTGCACACCTTCTCATGCAAGTCATTATGGTAATCCAAGTTTTGTGTTTGGTGTATCGATGTGAGATTGTGAAAGCACAGATATGACCACAGCGGCTCATTATGCCTTGTTGAAACTTTACCCTTCTCTGGTTTCACGGACAGCTCAGTGAACTTATCTTCACATGCACATTCATCGGCTTGGACAAGGACTCTGATAGAGGCTGCTGTTTATTCTTGACTTCATTACCCAGACACAGTTGAGATAGGATCTAGAAAACCGGCCCTCTTGGTTGTCAAAGAGCTGGCAATCTGTGGGGTTTATTTAGATTAAGGTATGCTTAATTTTTTGTGTTTTAGTCCATTATTATGTGTTATCACATGCTGTGTTGACTTTAAACTCATTTGTCTTGAGTATGGCACTGTTTGTTGTGACAAACTGAAAAGTCATTTGTTTCTTTCAAAAGCTGAAATGACTAGTTGATAACAAGATTAATTAATGAATAAAACAATCAATCTTAAAACATGTGTGGAAAAATGTCAAAGTACAGCTACTTCCAGAAATTTTAAAAAGCACTAAAGTCGGACACAAAGTTTGACATTTATTTCACTGGTCTGGAAATCTTGCATGGGAATTTTTGTGTGTCTAAAGTGTTTGAAGTTGAAGAGAGAAGCCAGAGCGGGGAATGTAACCAGACCCTATCGGGTTTTGGGCTTGTCTACTTGTCATTCTAGGGGGATTCGAGGGGAAATTGAAGGTCCTAGCAGGGGCATCCAAACAGTTCAAGACAAGGGCCAAAATCATTCAGTTAAAGTCTTCCCAGGTCACAAAAGTTTTATTTTTCTGTGAAATAAATGCAAAACAAGCATTTGATTGTTATGTCGCGTTTGTGTTATTCAAAACTAGGCCCTGATATTAGTAAAAGTATGAACATAAAAATGTTAAAAAGTGTCTGAGCATCAACAGCCTGCTGAGAGATAAATAACACATTTCCTTCAAATTCTTTTGAGGGCCACATAAAACCACTCAGAGGGTCCCAAATGGCCCCCAGGCCACACGTTGGACATGCATGCCTTACAGTGTAGGGAGAAACCCTAAGACGAAAAAGTCTAAGTTTCAACATATAAAGTGTGTGAAGAGTGTAACGTTATTCAGAAGTAAATGGCCTGTATTTATATGGGGTCTTCTAGGATTCTGCTGCACTGAGCATTTAGTCAGTGTGAGATTTTTTTGTTTCCACTCGTTTCATTTGTGATAACTTATTCATAGCTTTGTGTTTTTTCTCTTCTTTTTCTACAGCACTTAGGGGTTAAGTTCAGGTCGAAGGGTTGTGGTGGGAGCAAAGTGTTATTTTTGCTGTAAGCCACACTGTAACAACAACAATATGAGAAACTCGATGAAAGTTAAGCCCACCACAGTCCCCAGGCCTTCTGCCAGGCCTGGATGAAGGTCACAGGGCTGGAGAAGAGGAGAGGACAAGCTGCTACAAGTGCCCAGTGTGGTAGAAACAAAGACTCATGTGTGTTTGTTTCTGAGAAACAGAGACGAAATATAAATATATGAAAGCTCTTTACTGTTTCAGACATGGAAACAAAGAAAATTGGATTGAAGAACACTCACTTGTTTTATTACTGCGTTGCACCAAAACAAAGGAAACAATCCATCATAGAGGATGAACATCCATTCTGCCCACATAGGAGGATGAACAAAAACCACAGGTTGGGTTTCATTTACAAAACCGTTGACATCACTTTATGAAGACTGAAAAGCTTGTTCTAAATGACCTTTTGCAATTTTATAGTCTAAGCTTGGCTCTAAAAAGAATCAAACTTTCACGGAAGGTTTTAAACACGTTTTTCTTTTATTTGGAACAAAACCAATCTGTCTGTAGTGACCAACAAGCAGAGATCAGGAAACCCATGAAACACATTCATCCTTTATGATTTTAAAAGGTGAGACCAAAGCTGTAGATAACAAAAATGCATAACATTTCTTAGCAGATTGCCTTCCATACGCAACGGCCATTCTTCCTCTGCTCATTTTCAGTTAGCCAGTGGCTGCTTGGTATAGTTATTGGTATTTGTGTACCCTCCCGCATCCCAAAACGAAACATAAACTTGGCTAAAGGGGATTTTTGAGGCGATCCTACAGCATGCACCTGATAGTTGTATTGGATCAAGTTTAATCACACTACAAACGAACCACTCATCGAGGGTGGAAACGGATCAGGGTTTGATTTGCACAGACAAGTCACCGTAGGTGTGAAAACACTTGAAACTATGTACCACAAGCATTTTGATGGGGCACATCCATTT